TGTTCAGTTCTCTTCTCCAACATCACAACTCAAAACCATTGATTCTTTTTCTTCTGTCGTTCCTAGTCATTGTCCAGTTCTCTGATTCACAAGTAATTGTGAAGACTGAATGAGGTGTACTTTAGTCTTCAGATTGACAATGTTGTTCTTTAGCACATTGGAGGAGATGTTTGGAAAGGGGGGGACAGTAAAAGAGAGGGAGACTCTAAAGCAGATGAATTGGCATAACTACTGAAGCCATTAGCTCAAGTGTCTCTGAGATTGTAAGGATGGCACATGATAGGACAGGGTTCAGAACTGTTGTTCACAGGGTTGTTACAGGTTATAACCAACTCAATGGCACCTAATAATTACTACAATGCAAATACGTTTTTCTCTAAGTAATGTGTGTTGTTTTTTTTAAAAAAAAGTCTATTTGGACATGTTAGAAGTCTATTATTAGATACAGCTTGCATAATTATAAATGCTTTTTAAGTTTCTTTTTATTATAGTTGTTACATACATATATGGCCATTTCATTCTTATACATTAACCATGGCCTAATAAACTTGTTTAGTTCTCTTTGAATAAATGATAGCTTTTGGGGACTAAGTACATAATCATAAAATCTAAAAAATGTTTGTAATTCTATACCATCATTTATAATCTTTTTGTCTTTCTTTTTCTTGCCTTATTGAGCTAACTAAGACCCCAAAGTCCAGTGTAGAACAGAGTGGTAACAAAGAATCCTTGTCTTCATCTTCAATACAAAAATATTCAACATTTCAGTACTGTGAAGGCTCCTTTATCAGAGTAAGGACATTTCCTTCTATTCTTAATTTTTACATTTTTTTAAAAGTAAGAAATTATGGTTCAACTTTTCAAAATGCTCTTTTTGCATCTACTGAGGTAGCTGTATGATTTTTTTCCCTTTAGTCTGTTAATGCTGAACTCTGTGACACTGATATGTCAAATGCGATAATGGTTACCCATGATGGACAGTGTTTGGTGGAGCTCCCAGACTAAAACAGGCTTGGAAACAGGAATGGCATCCACTTTCAAAATAGCTTGCCTCCAGAAACTCTACGAATTTAGAGAAATGATGAAAGTTATACAAGTGTTCAAGTCTTTTATTCATAGGGTAGCTATGAGTCAACTACAACTTAACAGCACTTAACAACAAGAATTCTGTTAATGTGAAATAAAAGATAATGAGTGGGAGGAAGTAATAGGAAAAGACTGAGTTTCTCTAATAAGCTTAGCTTAATGATAATGCTATTTTTCCTTTATGTATATTATTGAAATCTGTCTGGAATCTGTCATGTACATTCATGAAAGACAAACTAATTGCCTTTGAAAATCCACTAAGGGTAAGCAATGGTTCGGTTCCAAGTCAATGGTACAAAACAAACAACAACAAGTTATACTTTTAGGTATCTTGTGAGAGGAATGAGTCATTGAATTTTAGTATACAAGTCAGTCTGAGAATTTTAGCAGGGATTTTGTTCATTGTCTGAGTTTTTTGGGTTTCTTTTTTTTCTTCTCAAGATGATCAACATGGTTTTGTTTACTAACCATCCTTTTTAAATTTAAAAAAATCATAATTTGAGTCATTTTTATTCCATTAGGTCATAAACAGAGGTTATTGTTGTTAGGTGTCACTGAGTTGAGTACAACTCATAGCTACCTTATAAAACAACAGATTTGGGCTTGGGATTTTGAGCATTTCTTCATGTGCTTGTTAGCCATCTGAATGTC